AAGTTGATCTTAGGAATGAAGGGGGGTGAGCTAAACCCGGAAGGAATACAACCAAGCATAACGATAGACCGCGGTATTCTAAAACCCTGGGTATGGTGTAGGCCGCGGTATCCCTGACTCCCGGGGCATGGGTGTTAGGCCTTCGCTAACGGCGCTCTGTGCGAGTGCGATGATTGCACTGTAGAGGAAGACTTTTACTTATTTTAGTGGCAACCAAGTGCCAATACGACAAGGACTTTGAATAATGCAACCACCAATAATATTGCTCCGCTTGTATGGAATTGCCAAGCAGATATTTGTCCAACTATTTAATTGCCGAGTTGCACAGTTTGCATTTAGCCTAAGGTAGACTTGCCCCATTTGCCCTATGTTGCAGGAAAATTCAGCTTTGGTAAAAATGATGGCGCGCAAAAATATGCGAATGCGACTGCCAAGTGTGTAATGTATTGCCCAAAAACTGGCACTTGCTTCGAAACTATGTGCAGAGGAGCGGAAGTTTGTAACTCAAGTAATGTCTTCGTAATGTTTTAGACCAAGTTGGCCGAGTATGCATATATAGAAAAGGTGCAGAGATGATGATCAGCTGATATGCCCCAATGGAAAAGCAAAAATTGACTAAGATGTCCAATGGGCAATAAATGGCCAAGGTAATGCAACGAATGATCGGGGAAGACGGATGATTATTTCCTCACCCCAAGGTCCTGCTGTTGAAATTGCGTGCTGATCGATTGGATTTGACCGTTGATTTTGCATTTAATTGTTTTTTGCCGAATTATGTTGTTAGGCGAATAAAGTTGCCGAATACTATGGCCATTGTTGCTACATAGAGTTGGACAATGCATAAAGTTGAACAAATAATGTTGTTGCTAAAAAGAGTTGATGCACGGCGAATAATGTTTCATGCGTAATGTTGAATTAATATGGTGCCAAAAATCTTGCTGAGTAAAGGTGATGCACTGCGGAAGTAACTAGTGTCAAAACATCGGTGTCTTTCATATATAATGTGATTGTGCCGAAAAGTTGGTCCAGCTCACTTGGTCGGTGACTGTGCTCATCTTTTGGTCGCGATTTTCTTTAGCTTCGCGGTGTGTTGGCATCACTTCAGAGTTGGAATTTGCTAAGAACTTGGTTGGCAATGGTTTCCCAATTTATTGAAGTTGAGATTCTTGTCCAACGTATATTTGCCCCATTACTTTTGATAAGATTGCTTATTCGGAAGGAATAAAATTGACTTGGGCCAAAATCGTTGAGTAGCTAATAACAATTTGAAACGGATTCTGTGCCTTGTTTGTGTCGTGGCGAAATTGGAATGAAGTCGAGACAAAGTAGGGTGCTTAGTGATATGCGAAGTGAGCCATTGCGCTCAATTTTTGAATAAATCTGCAAATTTATTTTATTTATTATTTTTATTTTTTTTATATATATATTATATATATATAATATTTGGAGCTGAATTTGCAAATTCTGACTGTACGGATGGACCCGGAATGCGTCAGATAGCTGAAAAGGACTATTGGATCGCTGTGATTCAGACTCCTAATGGCGTAATTATAGCCAAAATGGATCTAACGGCTCAGATCAACAGGGTGTGATGCAACTGCGAAACACATGATATTTCTTCATATCTTTGCTGGATCGCTTCTCCAGCGAAAGAATTCATTTTCTGGGCAAACTTTGGGTGGCCCGTACAGCTTCATTTGAGCTCCGATTGTGGCGCGGTTTGTTGCATTGGACTCGTCTCAATGAAGTACTTCACGTTGGTATGGGCAAAACTTGAGTTTGACTGCTTCGAAAATTTTAGTTGTCGGAAAATGTGAGACCGTATCGCACTTTTCGCATACTTTTGGTTGCTGCTTGACTTCTCGAGTTGGGTGGGTTTGGACTCTCTGAGCTGATGCGAATCCTGTGGTATGTTCAGATGTGGATTTCGACAAGCCGAGAATACTAGTTTTATGCCAAGTTATTAGTGCCGAATAATTCAAAAAGTGGTCGAATATTGTTGCGGAATAATATTGTAAACTAGTCAAAGAATGTGCCGACAAGAATTTTGGCGGTGTAATTTTTGCTAAGTTATAAGTCGAGTTTGATCATATGCATGCAGCGTTCTTATTGCTGATGAATTCTATTGCTGAATAAGTTTGACATATAATGTTTTGAGCCGAATAACGTAGATAACGGGGCGGGATTGTCCGATGCTGACGTATAGCGGCCGAGTAGTCTTGCGGTAGAGTAGTGTTGCTGAGTAAGCAATGAGCTGAATAAGTCAATAGTTGCCGAATCGTTCGTAATAAATTTAAAATAAATTTGGTTCACACATTTCATTATTTAAGTACTTTTTATGGTGTGAATGATAGACTTGTTACTTATCAAACTAAAGATTCACATTTTTTTTCTCTTAATTTATAAATATTGGAAAAAAACAAAATTATTTATAAAAATGCTAAACTTTTCAAACTATTTAGCAAATTAGTGCATTTTTTTGAAATCCTATTTTCAAAATGCAATTTCAATATAAAATCGCAAGTTAAAGATATGATTTCATTGTGATATGACCACCCCAAGCATCCACTAGCATTGCATAGGGCGCCAATGTGACGTGTTCAAGATACGATTTCAATCTTGCAATGTCTTATTAAAATTATGTTTTTAAGATGCGATTAAACATGTGATTGTAATATGCACATTGTGACAAATTAGCCGAGTAATTGAATTGTAAAATTATAATACAGGTCTTGGAGTGTTGTTTTCAATTTCACTCCAGACGATCTATTTTTAGTCTTTTAAGTACATATGAGTTTTAGAATTTGCTTGTAATTCTCTAATTGGGAGTTCTATCAATGTCGCATATGATCCATTGTAATATCTATTTTTTTGTTTATTAAATTCATTAAAAATAGACGTAAAATCACAGATAAAAATATTATAGAGTGACATGAATCAATTCATATCAGTGACTTGTCGTGTCATGCTATTATCAATGACTTGCTACATCATTCTATCTTAATGATATGAATATAATTTAAATGATTACAATTTTTAACTATCAACGACTTATTTTTATTGTCGGTGACTTATCAAGTTGTCCTATTAGTAACATGGCTACAGTTTCTATTGTAGTTAAAATTAAGGGCATGTTTGTTTGGATGGATTAGATTAGATTATATTAGTATTCCCATGACTAATAGTCTTAGGATTACGAATTCCTTTGGATTGTGTACCATATCCTATGTTTGGATTGAGTTAGGATTATAAGGAGGGATTAACAAAATATTATCCAATCCGATGTTTGTTTAAGGGGATTGGTATGGATAGGATTGACAGGACATGGGACATCCAATATATTGACCACAATACCCCTAATATAATTATTGTAAAAATTTTCACTAGCATGTGTTATAATTTTTAAAAAGAAAATTTCCGTATTGTTGTTCTACATTCATTTCGATTCATTTGAACAAAATTTAACCTACTTTTTTTTTAATAGAAAAAATCAAAAATCATTCAACTATAAAATTTATATATATATAAGCAACCATTAAAAAAAATACACAGCTATTTTAATCATATATTCATTGCCCAAATTCAAAAAGGTATTTATTGGTACAAAATTTAACCCTCACTTTTTTTTAATAGAAAAAATAAAAAATCATTCAACTATAAAATTTATGTATACACAAGCAATCATTAAAAAATATGAACTGCTATTTTAATCATTCATTGCTCAAATTCAAAAAAATATTCATTTAACCCTCTTTTTCTTAATAGAAAACATCAAAATTCATTTCACCATAAAATTTATATACACAAGCAACCATTAAAAAATATGCACTACTATTTTAGTCATTCAACCATTCATTGCCCAAAATTCAAAAAGACATTCATTTAACAAAAATTTAACTTTTTTTTTTAAAACAAAAAATATAAAAAATCATTTAACTATGAAATATAGCTATTTAGAAAAATAATGCTACTATACAAATATACAAACATTATGTTACTATGAAAGAAGAGTTTTGTGCATAACAACTTTCTCCTCCTCTGTTCATGAACAATGCTTCTTTCACCTCCATTATCTCTCTCTCTCTCTCTCTCTCACACTCAAGTTGTGTGTGGTGCCAACTGTAATGGCAAAGGCGTCTTCCTTTATTATTTGTTTTTTTTTTCTTCTCTCGAATTTGTTGCATCAATTTTAGGTGTGTGGTTATAAACTAATTCCTAGTCCGCTGTCAATTCTCCATTTTAGCTTAGTGCAATGTGGTCAGCCACGTTGTCCTTTATGAAAGAACGATGGATGTGATTGCGCTTCAATTCACTGCTGGAAAATCGACTTTTAGCGGCGTTTTAAAAACGCCACTATAAGTATTAAAAACGTCGCTAATTCTTTTTGTGACGTTTAGTACCAAACGCCGACGACGCGGCCGTCGCTATAGCTTTATGGCGTTTGAAAAACGTCGTTATATTTTTAAAAACGCCGCCAAAAGTCCTACCTAATTGGACTGTGACATCACTATGACATTTAGCGACGTTTTAAAAACGCCATTAAAGACATTTATACATTTTAAAAATCTAACCGTTGGGGTGGGATATAGTGACGTTCAAAAAACGCCGCCATAGCCTTTATTTTCATTTTTTTTATTTTTAACGTTGTGCTAATTTTATATGGATGAAAAAATACCTGTCATAAACAATTATTAAGAACTAATAATTGATGTTTATTAAAATAATAAATAAACTAAGTTTGAAAACAAAATTAAAAATAAAATAATGAGGCTCTTGACATGTTATTATACCGATTAGTAACATGATTACACTCTCATCTATCCATCACATAACACATTTGGTATAAAGTTCAAAAAAAAAATTATAAATAAATAATAATCGTAGAAGAAGAAGAAGAAGAAGAAGAAATCTGATGCACCAACATTGTATTCAAGCAATCAATATTTTCTTTTTCCTTTTTGAAGACCCATCAAGTAGAGTAGAAAACTATGAAGAATCAATCAACATGCAAGAACTGTCCTTTCGGTTACCTTACAAACCTTAGCTTGTTAGAACATTAACTACATCTACAAAATATGATAGCAACTATTCAATACAAAAGTTTCTAAAGCCATATTTTAGATATGTAAAGAGTTTATAGCCAACCCCTTGTATTTTAACAACCTCTCTCCAATGAACTTGTCGGGTCGGGGCGGGCATACCTCAACTATAATACAAACTGCAGACCATCTTCTGTTTTTAAGAGTTAGTAATGTATCATATTTCTCCACTTGTCCTTCAAATCAACCTAAACAAAAGAAGCCCTTATGTTAACATAAAGAAAAATAATATTAAAGCAGAAAAAAGGCACAACCATAAAAAATTCTCACCTCGGTTCTCTCTTCAAATATGTCACGATCTGAATTTAAGATGAGCTTCTAGTTCCCTCTACCAAACCTTCAAAAGAAATAAATACAAATGAGTGAGGAGCTTTACATTATCCTAGAAGATATCATTGATTATTTAATTCTCTCAGTTGACATGAAAACAGTAAAAAAAAATAACGTCCAATTAGTACACATTAATGTGTGTTTGTAAGGGGAAAAAGTTGACATGAAAACAGTCCTCGAAGAAGAAGATGACAGAACTTTCTACCCCAATGGTTAACTCATATCCCTTAGGGTGGTAAAACTGGTGCAGCATTTCAGGGTCAAACACATGCACATATAAAAAAGAAGATAGATCAGTTAAAATAAGGTTGAAAAGTACATATATAATAATTATTATTATTTTATTAAAAAAACAGATCTTATTAAAAGTAGCCCCAAATAGATAGCTGATATAACCTGAAGTCTTCCAGCTGTGTCCACTATGACCACATCCATATTCTTCCTTTTGGCCTCTTCTAGACCTTGCCTAGCTATTTCTGCAGGTTTAACACCAGTTCCTGCTGCATAAACAGGCACATCCACCTGTCCCAAGCTTATCATTGAATATGAGAATGAATTACGTGATCATGAATTTGAATCAAACATGAACGGTAACAAAGCAGAAAAACATAATAAATACAGAATATCATCTGGTTTCAACCATGTTGATCGGCTTTGATCCAAGAACCCCACTTTTATACCTAGTAAACCATATTGCCGCCTAAACCCATTTTTCCTGTTCAACACTTATTGACTACATAAAGACAACACATATGAAAGCCTTAGATATATCATGTGACAATAGAGCTATGTGACTCCAATGATAATATTCAAGTGTTATAGGAAAATCCAGATTTAGCATCAACGAAATGCTTACTTACCAAATAAATGGAAAGGAAAAACACATAAATAAAGAGTGTAAAAGAAGAGGATGAGAATTTAATTGAGTGTATTTCTTCATAGATCGATATCTGGATAAATTAACAATTCCATGAGTTGGAGTGAAGTGATGATAAGTTTCTGCCAGTTGATGTCATGATAATTGAAATACCTGGCGGGGACCAAAGCCTATGGCCGAGAACTCATCTTTCATTTCCTGAACACTTTGCTTTCACCCACAGGGGAACCCTCCCTTCTGGACCTGGGTCTTGAGCATCTGACCTCCCAAATTGCTTGTCAAACAAGCCCCACTGTAGTTACAAAAAGCAATTATATCCATTACATCCACGTCCCCTAATAACTTTGAAATAACTGATCACAAAATTGGACACAAAATATATATGGCCGAATATAGTTTTTCAAAAGTGGATCTCATTAACAAATCATGTAAATTCTTTGACCAGTTTCTGTGTTCGTAGCGAATTTGATAATTTGAGTTAAGCGAGGTAAAGCATAATGGATACCACATATGAAATGTGTATACATAGAGACTCCATGTGCAATTGTTCACACACTATAGTCTATTCATCTACCATAAATTTGATGATGAACATATTGGTAAAAACAAATGATTTATAGAGTACACTCCACATAAATACGATGACTGATTCCAGAGTATCTGAGCCAGTTAATGGCCATGTAGGTAGTGTACAGGACAAACTTGGTGATAAGTATGACATGCAACCTGCAAATTGGATGAGATCAGCAAATGAAATAGGACCACCCTTGGAATATGAATCTATTTCCTTCTTTGCTTCCTCTAATAAATTCATTGCGGCGGAGTGCCCTTTATTCTCTGGTCTGCTAATCTCTGAGCTTCAAGCAAGAAAATATAATTGACAAGAAAAAAATAATAAAAAAAACATCAAGGTAACATTTCAGCATTGACTTAAAAACTTCTAACCGAAAAAATAAGAAGCAAGGAGTGAAAACAGTTCAGCCAAAAGACGCAAATAAAAGGAAACTCTGATGCCTAAACCAACTAAATCCAGGATCCAAAACCTCAATACAATTTTGACAATTTAACATAATTTTCATATTCCATAACCTTTTTTTACCACATTTAATAGATCTGCTTATCATCGACACTGAAATAATAGGGTCATTTTGTGAATTGGCATTAAAATCCCTAAAAAATAAGCCGAAACAAAACATAATAGATGAATCATCTTTGGTGTGGTGAAAATCTTCACTATACATGAAATACCAATCCTAATTTTTGATAGAATGCAGAATTTCATTCTTTTACTTTATTCTTTAATACTACATACTTATGCGTGGTAATGCTATATGTTAGAAGTACCTGAAACGTACAGATCCATTTGGGCCACCAGATTTTGTGGCCTACAAAACTCAATTAGAATCATATGAGCTTTCTTGATATGTAATGTTTAGGAATAATATAAATTTCTACTTTCATCTCAAACTGTCAACAAGTAAAACTCTTTCTCACCTTATCATAAGTCATAGCATCATTCATTGCCAAAGTCAATAAGGATGGAACAGGATCTGGGTTTGCCTAAAATCGGCACATCAAGAATCAATGAAGCATTGTAGGTTTTAAATCTGTAAAATCCGGTCTAAATATGCATTACATTAAGATCAATTTCATTAAGCATGATGGCGGGATTTACCTTTATAGCTGTAAAAAGGGTCCCTTTCACACTTGCTGTCAAAGAAAATATGTTAATTCAATAGACACCGTCAATGTTAAATGTACATAACTATTTGGTATCATTTTCATTTTTCATGTTTTCATAAACAAAAGCAATGAAAAGTTCAAAGTCATCCATCACTTCCAAAATTTTTCTAAAATTTGAAAACAACTATTTGGTGCTTTCCTAAAACTGGGTTGCTTTCAGAACTTTTTTTCTGGAAACACTTTACCTAACAAGTTTTCTGTGTTTTTTGAAAAATGAAAACAAAGAATAGAAAACAAAAATGACACCAACAGTTTGGAGTACTTACACTGAAACTCAGAACGCTGTCTGCGCTGTATTAGATCAGCAGCATTAGCCTCTTCAACAAATGAGCCTGAGCTTGCTATTATTTCCTAGGGAGAGACAACAACTGGCAGAAACTTATCATCACATCACTCCAGTTCACGGAATTGTTAATTTATCCAGATATCGATCAATGCAAAGTTCGAACGTAATTTGGCTGGTAGCTTCGGAAGAATGCAGTACTCATTCTGTTTGTAGATTAAACTTTTGTTATGCTGATGCTTTAGTTTTATGACAAAAAACTTGATTCTGCAAAAGTGAATCTACTCACTGATTCTGGGGGATAATCAGTTGGTGCATACCCAGCTCTGAAATATTGGGCCTAGAGGTCGAAGCAGCAATGGCTTGCTAATGGAGATCGAAATTATAAATTTTCAAAAGTCTGAGCTGTTTGTAAGTCCTAATTTTAAATTCCAACATCGACATTTTCTGGATAATATTTTAAATATTCATCGTGTGAGTAAGCCTAGCCTCTACTTGGGGGCAAATTTGGATTTCAATACCACTAAATAAATGCCGTTAAAACCTACATTTCCTGTAGTGATTGGAGTAAACGAAAAGTTTTGCATCATTGTCTACAAGCTTTAGGTAGTTTTGGAAGAACCTGTTTGCCATGTTATATGCTCTTATACTCCAAGTGAGGTCTCGGCTGCATAATTCAGGACAGGTGCTTTTATTGTTTCATTGATTCTCATTAGTTCCCTTGCAGAGACTTGATAATATCCCTTGAGTCAATAAAGAATTTTCTTAATTAAAATTTTCCTTTCATCGATGAAAATAAGAAAAATATTACTATTAAGTTGGAAAATGAAACTCACCTGAACATATTTTGAAGCCACTGTAGCAAAGAATGCTACAAAGAGAACTTGCCACGTGAGTGACGCCAACATAGTCTCTGCATATATATACACACACACATATATTATATTCATCGGTCATATCTTGTGTAAAGAGGACCAACATTCTTCCAAAAAAGACAGAACCAGCTGCAGCAGATTAAGATCTCCATCATGAAATAGATTAAGTAATAGGCTCCACGATCGGAAGCTACCAAGATATGCAAGCGGCTAATAAATTTCTTCATGAACAAGGGCTTACCTCCTTTTGTTCAAGCTTTTTGTCCAATTCTTTGAGCTCCCTATCTAATGTTTCTTGAAGAGAAGAATGTTCTAGCTCTTTCACCTCGTCTTCCATGTCAAGTTGTGGAACAAGGGCAAGACAGATACAGACATGGCTATTGTACTAACAAAACATGTCTCCATTTCCAAAATCTGCTATTGTTAAAAAAAAATTAAAAGTGGTGCAGGTGTGTGGTTTAACTCCACCTATGTCGTGCTAGAATTTGTTTGCTGTTGTTAAGTAGTTTTGTGTATTGATTCCCAACCATTTTAGGGATTTCCTAGCAGGGCAAAAGAGGAGGAAAAAATAGCTAGTATTGTCTTTCTGCTTGATTAGTTTTATTGTGCGAGGAACAGTGTAGGAGAACTTTTCAAGGGTATAGAGAGGCCTGTATATATATTGAAGAATAATTTTTTGGGTTGTTTTCTATAATTGACTTTCGAAAAGGGTAATCCCAAACCTTGGTCATTTAGAAAACCATAATGTGTAATGCGTGCTGTATATCTTTTCTCATTGGACACCTCTTGTTGTTTGTGAAGTTCTTTCTTTTTGTTTTTGTTACAGCTTGTAATTTCGCTTGATGCTCTCTTCTCAATAAAGCTTATTTATTTCATATAAAAAAAAAACCTTAGTTAATATCTATGCTTCTAATTGATTCCAAAAATGCGCTCACAAATCTCAACTTTATCTGTCCTTGTAGAATCTTGTATTATGAACTTTTTTATTCTTAAAGAGAGATTTTTCGTTTTATTTAATACATATGTTTATCAGCAAACCAAAAGATGGCTCACAGATCTCATGTTGTGCCTTTGACTCCCTTGTTAATTAAAGTGTTATGAATTTTAGATATTACTTGTAAATGTTACTTACGAATTTTGATCAAGGCAATTCAACTTGCTTAGTTTGGATCAGTTCATCACTCAAAATTGCAGTTGCAAAGTTATTATGTAATTACTATTTATGAATTATTTTTTTTCCTTTTATTGTTTATTTTTTATTTGAGCTTGATTTAATTTTCCATTGAATTATGCGTTTGCTTTTGCAGTTGGAACGACAGTGAAAGCGGATAAAAGCAGTTGATCTTGCAGCTTGCCAGTGGTGAAAGAGATGTTGAAACAGTTCTATCAACAATGTTGGAACGGTAAAATGTTCTCGCCACTTATGTGTCATATATGGATTTTTGCTTTAATTTCCTTTATACAGTGAATTTTTTTATTGCTTCATGCTGCATTGACACTCACTTTGTAGCTTCTTCTTCTTTTTCCCCTTTCTTCTTTCTGTCATTTTTTTGTGTCCCTGTTATTAGTATTTGATCGAATTTTTGTTTGGTCCCTGTTATGCATTTTTATGGCCTTTTAAGAGAACAAAGGAAGAAATAACTAGATTGAAAAAGCCCCCTCTTTCAATTTAAATTAGTTAGAAGTTATAACTTGTTGAATATATTAAAGGAGAAGTATTTTACAGCATTTGTCATATTATTTCGGACAATAGAAAATCTGCACCAGATTTTAAATAAAAATTTCTTAAGACGCGTATTAAGCTCCCTGTAAGATTCTCTCTCTCTCACGGAATTTGCATGAAACTCAATCATAATCAAACTTTCCCCCCCCCCCTTATCTATTCTTCATCTAATAATGAGGATGATAAATCTAGGTCCACTAAACAACTTTTTTATATTTCTAAATTTTCCTATTGAATCTGCAATATTATCATTCTGACTTTACCA